TCATATGCGCGTTTGTAAGCAGGCTTTTTATCTCTTTTCATTATTATTTTCTCCTCCAGTCCCATAGACCGTCAGAAACCATTTTCAGCTTCCCGGGGAACAACAGTGCAAACAATTGATTAACGCTTCAACCCTATCAACTTTAAACGATCTTTCTCTGTCTGTAGCCGGGTACCCATTCCCACCTGGGTGAAGTGAGGAAAATTCGTGTAAAGTGCCTTTCCTAAGGACACAACGTCGGGCCCTGACGGGATTCGAACCCACGTCCTTACGGTTGCGAGTTCGAGAGCCTAACCACTAGGCCACCGACGCCTCAATAATATGATTGATTTTAACAACGGTTAAAAAAACTGCAATGAAACGGCAAACAAATTTAATAAAATGATAAATTGATGTATAAAAAGTAAGAGTAATGAGTTTATGAAAACAAAAGGAAAGACATTTTAAATGAATTAATAAATCATTATGAATAGACACAGAAATAAGTAATTTGTTTGTACTAATACTGTTAACTCCTATACTACCCCTGTTGAGGCTACTATTACCACCACTACTTCTAAGATTTTTACTTTTAACACTCCTCCTCCTCCTCCTCCTCCTCCTCCTCCTCTTCCTCCTTCTCCTCCTCCTCCTCCTCCTCCTTCTACTCCTCCTCCTTCAACTCCTACTCCTACTTGTACTCGTACTCCTACTCGTACTCCTACTCCTACCCCTAACTCCTACTGCTACTCATACTCCTACTCCAACTCCTCATCCTCCTCCTCCTCTTCCTCCTCCTCCTCCTCCTCCTCCTCCTCCTCCTCCTCTTCCTCCCCCTCCTCCTCCTCCTTCTCCCCTCCACCTCCTCCTCCTCCTCCTCCTCCTCCTCCTACTTCTACTACTACTACTACTACTACTACTACTACTACTACTACTACTACTACTACTACTACTACTTTCAAAGAATTTATTTAAAAAAGTAAATTATAAATAAAATAGAATTTTCAAACGTTACGCTAAATCAGGGCCGATTTTACTTCTTTAAAGCCATCCAGCACAACGTGCCTACATTTTTTTTTTAATTCAATGGCAACAAGGCTAGAGGGCGACCGAGAAAGACCTGAACAGATGGAGTCAGGGAATTACTAACCACCCACGGCATCCCCCTGACCCAAACTCTCCGGCTAGTGGCAGAGGGACGTCTCTTTCTTCCCGCGACAACCAAAAGGGTATAAGCGGCGGATAAAAGTAAAAGTAAAAGTAAAGACTTTCAAATGAATAAAGTGGAAACTTGGGTAAACGGGGGGGGGGGACTAATCGATTAACGTTGTACGTGAATGTCATTATTAACGTATTGCTTCAACCAAAAGAGAGAAGTGCTATCAAAGTAAAACTTTGCGAGTTACCCATATCAAATTCACTAGTACATTTGAATACACAAATAATTATGCGTTTTTTCAACTATATATGTAGTAAACAGTTCCTTTTACTTTGTTTATAAAGTGCGCAGAAGCAATGTGCTCTTACTCGTGCGCTGCCAAACCCACCCCTTTCTGCTCTGTTAGTCCGTCTACACCCCTAGGTATCTTTCATCGGACAACCCCCCCCCCCAAAAAAAAAAATGCAAACAAACAAATAAAACCCCCAACAAACATCCAAACCCAAGGTAAAAACAAGAAAAACAAACCAGCAACCCCCAAACAACAAAAATACGATTGCTTCATGACGCTATGCTTTTTAGAATCGGGGAGGGAATTGTAACTCTATCCCTCCCCGGGTAACTCGTTTACCACTGAATTGCCGACTCGAGCTCTTAAATTTTGAATGAGGCCCCCATTTCTCACAGCCCAAATCACGCGCTTGAACCTGGGAGAAATTACCAGTAATTATCATTGGAGTTCCTCTAATGAGGCCTTGTCCAAGAGCGGGTTAAGCGGCCACCCTTGAGTGGAGACCAGGACCATTACAGCGAAAGCGCTTTCCAGAGCTGCATTGTATTTACACCTTTACAATTATATAACAGGCCGATTTATGTGGCAATTTGGATGACTTTTTAATTCACAGAATCGCGTATTCCCAAAGGGCCAAGCGGTAAGCCCTCCGGAAAAAAGGGGCTCGTCACGTGAGTCTGCGCATGCGCGAAGATTCTTCTGTTCAAAGGATTAAATTATGGCTTGTGTGTGAGCTGTGGAGTTTAGAGGTAGGGTATGACTTAATGTCCGTTTCGACTTGGTGAGAGAGGTCAACGAGTGTGGAAGGGGGGGGGGGATTATAACAATGATTCGTAGACAGGTGAAAAGTATCAAAACTCGAAGAGCGAAGATGGGAAGGGACATTTTTTTGACTAAACACAATGACAGGGGGAGGGAGAAAGAGTAAGATATGAATTGATAGATGGATATATATATATATCTATCTATCTATCTATCTATCTATCTATCTATCTATCTATCTATCTATAGAGAGAGAGAGAGAGAGAGAGAGAGAGAGAGAGAGAGAGAGAGAGAGAAAGAGAGAGAGAGAGATGGATAGACATAGAGACAGGGAGAGAGATTGTTTGACAGAGAGACAGAAAGATAGATAGATAATATGAGAGAAAAGGGTAGAAAAACAGATAAACACACACAAACACACGCACATACCCACACACACACATACACAGACAGACAGACAGACATACACACAGACAGACGAACAGATAGACACAGAGACGCACAGTCACACAGACAGAAACGCAGACACACAGACAGAGACAGATAGAGATAAAGAGAGAGAAGAACATAATTTATAAACACATACACTATAAAAACAGCTTTAAAAAAAACCCACATACAGACTCATACATACAAGTGCACATGCCAAACGCATCGATAGCACGCCTTCACTTGTGCGGTCATGCATGAGAAATCCTTTAAAGATACGCTCTTGGTGTGAACTCTTTATACAAACTTAAGTTCTATTTCGAAAATGGCATACTCCAGGGTATTTTACATAGCAGTTCTCATGAAATTATAGGCTATTATCTTTGGACTATTACAATTAGTTTGTAGTATGTTGTAATTTCAATTTCTTTTTTTCCTTAATGGTGGTTGTTTTTCGA